CCCGGTCTCTGAGGCTTATGACTTCTTGTACACGTTACTCGCTTCAAAAAGCAATGGACGCCCTCCCGAGCGGCAAATGCGCAAACGCAAACTGCAACGTCCTCAAGGTGCAGTCGGCACAACAGGCCATGGCATGCAAGAAGGCACAGCAGGTGCATGAGGATGTGGGAGTGGCGGGCGAGCAGTGGATTTCAGAGTTGCCAGGGGGTGTGGCGGTCACTTATTAGGATGTTAGCTTGTTAGCTTGTTAGGAAGTTTGGCGTCACCCGGTGGTGTCAGGGCGGGGTTTTAGGTCAGGCTAGACACATGATAGTGTTTGAATGTAGTCTCGATTTAAATGTCAATCGTAGCATTTCACTTGTCTTCCCCTTTCCTGGTAACATGCATATCCACGCTAACGCCTGATTATCAAAACGTCAAAACACTCTTTGATACCCATCAACTAACAAGTCAGTGACTTACTCACACACGCACACACACACCCCTCGCAACTCCCCACTCCAGTACCGCAGCCATCTATCCTCCACCTCCACCACCACGCACAAACGCCCTCCTCAGTAGCACCCACCACAACCACCACAATCGATACCATCCCGCCAATATAAATGCTAATACTTGGACTATTCCTTCACGCAAAGCACCACCATCACTTGGTCAAACGGTCGATCGAACGGCCGGTATCCTGAAGCTCACCCTCTCCCCAGATAGAGCAGGGCTCTAGATTTAAATCCGATCGGGGGACAGGTTCAAGGGAGAAATCACATTCGAAACGTGAGCGGTAATCATCATCACAGTCGTGGAGGGGGCCGCATGGCGGTCTTCCAGGGCCGTCGTTTGACTCTTTTGTCTTTTTGTCATTGGTGGTGTGTGCTCTTTTGTTGGTGTGACTTGGGAGAAGAGAATCTGTACTGCCTTTTATCTAGCATGAGTTCGAATCGTAGAGCTTGCAAAGATGTCTCTTATATCATGCATATATATACGCATAGGTACTGTACACGCGGCTAAGAATAACAAGAAATGCATAACCATTTGGACTAAACAATGACACTAGTGGATATCCAAACAAATCAGAACCTAAAGGCATCTTACACACCACCAAAACGCCTCTGGTAGCTCCACAGTCCTGTCTTCCTGGGCTTACTCATCCAAAGATTCCTTGCCCCCCAAAGCTGTCCCCAAGCCAGTTCTCTCCCGCTATTATACCCAAGACCCCAATACCCATCCAACCCTGAATAAGCGTTTCCTCCTTCCCAACATGAATCTCGTAACTCACAGGAGGAAAAAAATACATAGCTACTCCTGAGTCTTCCCCCCACCCATTCGCTCAATGTTAGACAACAGCCTGCTCTTACTCCCACTCGAGCTCCGGCTCAACTCTGGCCCTGGCGCCTTCTTGGCCCCAAAGCCTCCTGGTGCACGGAGTCCAGAGGGCTTCGCAATGCCACTCCCACTTGCACTGTGACTGTGACCCTTTTCACCCATAGCACCGAGACGATCCCCCATGGCGCTAGTAGGTCGCCCGCCGCCAAGCGCTGAGCTTGGCCTTGAAGTCATAGATGCTCCGGCCAGGAAGCCCGTGTTACGCATTGCTTGTTCAGGAAGAGCTTGCTTCTGCTTTGACGCGGTGGTGGCTGGAGCCGGGCCCATTTGTGATCTGCGGAAGTCATCTTGTTGCATTTCTTCCATCTTCTCGCCACACATGGCTAGCATTTGCTCTGCAGCTGCAACTAGCTCGCCCTTTTCGATCCGCTCAGCTTCCAGATCTTGGAGAAGCGTACCGTTTTGTTCTCTTAAGGAACGTAGTTCAGACTGAAGGCCGGCAAGTTTGGCTTTGAGGTTCTCGATTTCTGCGCGTTGGGCTTCGAGGGCTTGTTTGTCTTCTGCACTCGTTGTACCGCCCGAAAGTGTTTGCTTTTCGTCTTCTGCACGGGCATCAAGTTCTCCAGGGTTGATCTTGCTGAAGGTGTTGTCGCGCTTCTTTTCTGCTTCCTCGACTTGACGCTCAAGACGGATGATTTGGAGTCGGAGTTCCTTGCATCGCTCGTCTGCCTTCTTTTGATAGTTGTCTTTGAGAGCCTTGATCTTCTTCTCGTGTTTGGCTTTGTAAGCTGTGTGCAATTCGCGTGCCACCTCGTTGACCTTCTCTGCAATAGCAGTCTGACACTCAATTTCCGAGTATGTCTTCTTGTTTTCCTCACCCTCGTCGTTGTTGATGAAGGTGGTCATGTCTACATTCTTACTCTCGGCTTCAATACCCTTAGTCTCGAGCTCAGAAGATCGATTCTCAGCCATCCTCTGCACGTTTCTCAGCTTCCACTAGCTTGGTGAGCAAGTCGTCACGCTCGACGTCGTTGCGAGCCAACTCAGCTTGCACATCTTGCAACAGCTTCTGGACTTCTTCGCCCTTCTTCTTCCAGTCAATCATTTGCGCCTCTGCATATTCTCGCGCGGACCGCTCGTCGCGGACGGTCTCGAGCGCTTCGCCAACACGACGTTCAGCGTCCGCAATGGCTTTAGACAGTGACTCCACCTCAGCCTCCTTTCCAGACAGGCTGGCAGTCAAGGAAGAAATTTGGGAGGAGAATTGTGACTTGACGGATTCCATTTCACGAATGGTCACTGTGGGCATGGACCGCGGTGTTGGAGGAGGTGGTAGCTCGAAGTCCAACAAGTTGAGCATGTGGCGGCTTTGGCTGGGAGTAGCTGAGACATGGGAGCCGGCTTTTGCAGGTGACCGTTGATTCTGGTAGTAGGAGCGAAGGTTTGGCTCTGTGGTAGACTTCGTAGGTGATGTTCGTGTGCGACTAGGAGAATTACGGCGTGACGTCGTAAAAGATTCCATCTGTGCGGTGAAGTCAAGGAGCAGGTTCGTCGTATCATTCTCTTTATATGAGCGACGTGATGTGGGTGAAGGTGTACGGTCGGACCGACGCACCGTTGAAGGTGTCATTTGATTGCGCGATGCACGCGGTGTTGCCTATGGGGCCGTCAATTAACGATGGTTTCTCGGATTTCACCGTTCTCACTCACATCTGGCTCGTCACGCTTTGCAGGGCTCTGCTTCATAAAGGCGAATTTGGTCATGTCGATACCGGGCATTTCAGAGAAGTTGCTGAAACATGTATCATCGACATCAGCCGACGTCAGGTCCGGACCATCTGGGTTGAAATCGGTATTATCCAAACCCAGATCCAACTCAAAATCGTCATCCTGCGTTGCCTGTCGTGTAGGGCCTTCGTGATCTTCCATGTGCTTCATAGCAATCGTGAGACCCTCGTTGTCGCGCAGCGCTGAGCCTTGATGAGACGATGTGGGGCGGCTTGGCGATGATGATGATGATGCATGCAATTTTTGTGATACCGTGTTCCCAAGGGGAGTAAAATTCTGTCTATGGTCGAAAGACGCTGTGTGGACGTCTTTGGACGGCGACATGTTCTCGCGCGACTGGCTGTTTGAAGCAGGCTCTGATGGCTCGTTTGAGGGGCCCTTGGTGGGAGAAGATTTCTGTGGACTGTTATGGCTTCTAGTACTGGCCTCCATCGCGGCGTCTTCGAAGTCGTCCATAAGATTTTTGACTGGCGACATTTTTGCAGGACTTGTGCGCTCTTTTAGTCCGAGCCTCTTCTCGGGAGACACCCTGAATGCAGACTGCGGGACATCGTCTTCAAAGTCAAGCAGTGGCTTCACAGGCGTACGCGCAGCATTTGGTGCAATGTTCTCTTGGTTATCTTGCTCAACGTTTTCCACGAAGGGTGACGAAGGCGGCTCATTGAAGGTTATGTCGAAGTCATCGTCCAATGTATTTGAGTGCGCATTAGCGTTGACCTTCTCCGGCGAGAGATTCGACATTGGGTCTGCCATGTTTGAGACCAAATAAGTGTGAATAGCTTTTGAGGGTAGTGGTGTGGTTTGGAGTCGTGCATATCGCGGTGCCGCTGAGCCAGTGTTTGGGCTGTGTTTACTTTCGTCCGTGCGCTTCCGATTTTAGCGTGTTCCGTTCCGACAGCGACCAACACGCGCCCGCGCGGCCAAACACTTAGGTACTCAAAGAGGAATAGTTGTTGCAGGTCTATCTATGGAGCTTCCCTCCCGAACGCCGTCGTGAAAGCAGCGGTGTTTGTTTTCTTCTATTTAGCTTGCCTGTTGTCTAGTAGGAGATTATCCGATCTCCTTGGATTCAGTAATTGATTGCGCCCCTTAATGCCCCTGCTAATCTTTGATACTCCTTCAAAAGCTCGTCTACTTCCTTCAACTTCAACTCTTGTGCGTCTTTACATTCAACAAATCGTTTTACAGGAGGCGATGTCTTCTTGAGCTGCTCAAGGGCAGCCACAGCTCTCGTCACCCTCTCTTCTGGCTGCGACTCTCCTGGGATAGTCCTGCTTAATAGCTCTGGAGAAGGCGACATCTTCGCCTGCTCGGTATTTGAAGACGACATAACAGGCGTGCTGCTGCTACTCACAGCTCGTCCGAAGCGAGGAAGGACATTCATACTCGCAAATCGATTCAACGGATTGAAACTGTTACCCATGTTGCGAAGAGAATCCACAGCTGAGGGGTTGCTTGTAGGTATAGCTTCCGGTTTGGCCGCTTTTGGCGCTGGTGGTGTTTTCTCTTCGGCACCCTGTGCTGCCGCATGTGCAGCACGTCGTCCGCTACTGCTACCTCCGGATTGAGTGGAGTCGACACTGCGATCTCTAATCTGCTTCCTCCCCGCAAAGAGATCAGTCATCTTAGACTCTAAAGTCTTAGGGGCCGCGATATCAGGAACCTCGTCTCCGTGCACTGAGCTGGTAGCGCTGACACTGATGCTATCATCGTCTCCATCCATTTGAGTCGGAGAGCTCACAAGCTTCCTTGCGTCCTCTAAAGTCTTGGGCAAGATTGGTGCCTCTGGTCCGGGACTATTCGGGTCCTTGTCACGTAGATTGCCGAAAAAGAATTTAAAACTGTTGTCAAGTGTGCTGTTGATACGGCCAAGGGCTTGGTCCGCTGAGTCGAGAATGGAGTCACGAACAGCATCTGAGGCCGCCTCAAATTTGTTTGTTTGTGCTTGTATCAAATTGCTCAATCGACGCTGAGCTTTGGTTGTAGTGGGACTGGACGGCTCCGTATTGGCAGACTTTGAGGTTGGTGTTGCTGGAATCTGTATCAGGTCTGGGGCATCGGACAAGCCCAGGGACATTGGTGTGATTTCCGACTTGGGTGTAGATGGCCGTGAGTCTGTTTTCCAGGGCCCGGCCTCCTCTGCCCTTAGCGACGACAGATCGACTGTCTCTAGGAAAGAGATGGCAGCCTCTAGGTTGACAAGACAGTAGGCAGTTTCGCCATCCATTCGACTTGATCCTCTGAACCTCTGTATGAACTTCAGGTCACTGATGACATTGAGATGCACAGGCGGTAAGGTAATCAGCGCGTAAATGAGTGTTGGCAAGATCTCGTCTGCAGATGACGTGGATGGGAATATCTTTGAAAGCGCTTCCACGATCGACTTGTGCGCAGCAGCCAGATGATGAAGTTTTCCAAGTGGATATTTTTCATCATTCATTTTGAGGAGATCCTGCCGAGCAGTGGAGAGCCATTCTCTGATCTCTGGGTCCTTCTCCTTGGTCTTCTGGCGCTCTTCGTCTGTCATCTCGTCGCCCGTCATTAGCAACTCCTTGAGACCGATGCCAACAAGTGATAAGGCTGCTGTTCGCGATCTGAGTTTGTGGTCCCTTTCTTCATCGTCGGTACTTCGGTGTCGCCATATTCTTTCATAAACCCTTTCGCATACCGCACGCTCCACCGCCTCCTCGAGCGCCAACCGTTTCACTTCAAGAGATTTCCTCGCTTTTTTACGATCTGCCATCTCCGTCGCACTCAACATCTGCTGTTCTCCGGACTGATCGCTGCCCTTTCTCAGCGGCGCTGGCTTACTGGACGGATTGGAGCCTTTTCTGGACTGCGCAACGAATGATTCGCTTGTAAGGCGAGCAGATAATGTGGCTATATGTGTGGTGATTTTCGCCGAGGCGCGAGTATAAAAGTCTTGAAAGAGGTCAGAGAGAGCATCGGCGGAGAGCGGAGTCGGATGGACTTTGGCAGTAAGTGATTCAAGGAAACTGTCAGAATGTTAGACCTGGTTCACATGTACCTATCCGAAGCCTACCATACCGCTCAGTCAAGCTACGAATCTCAATAGGCAGCTCTTCAAACGTGTCCGGAACACTCGGACCTTCTCCGCTGTTTGCTCCATCCTCCTCCTTGTGCACGAAAACGTCTCCGTCGGCGTGTTCATCTTCTTCTGGCACCATGACGGCCTTGAGAGGGTCTGCAATGTCTGGCACTGGCGGGCCCTGAAGCGTGCTTGCTCGACTTCGTTCGAGGGGACTCTGAGGGGCGGGTTCGAGCCGAGTGAAGGAACGGGAGGGATGCAGGTTTCGAGGGCGGTCAGCCATTGCTGTTCTTGGAACGGTATATCAAAGAGAAGGAAAGTCTCAGGATATTGTGTGCCAGCATTGAAAAGGACGTATTCCGCCTAATCTCACACGTCGAATGTCACCAGATCTGGGACGTTCGACATCAAAACCCAGGACGGACGTGCACAGGGCAAATGGTCCAAGGGGCGGGCAACGTCATGTGTGGAAATTGGCGTTGGGTCGCCGGCGAAAGATGGCCGCAACTGACAAGATAATGTTCGGAGCGATTCACTACTGGCACTGGCACTCACTGGCCGGCTCCATCAAGTCGGTTGATGGCTCCATGCATGCAGGGGGTGGGAGTTGCCTGGGTGTTCACGGGGTGACCAGGTGATGCCTGGGTGGTGTGCCCTTATCAGCACGTGAAGAGGCGCGCCGATCGGAATCCGGGGTAAAGCGTCATGGATGCAATGGTGCTGCCCATCAAGTAGGCGATGGCATGCCAGCACCCAGTTCCCTTCCCCTTGATGCTCACAACTCACCCATAACCTCGTTTGCTCCGACTATCTACCCCAGCACATCGCACCATGAGATCTCGGCATCTCTGTCCTTCTTCGTCGCGCGTCACTGCTTCGTTACTGCTCTCGTTCCTCGCAGTTGGCGGTGCATCGCTCGCCGCGCCGCCGACGCCACCCACTGCTCACCACGATGACAAAGAGTTCTCCCTGCGGCACATTTTCCACCATGGCGTCTACGAATATCCACAACTGCATCGAAGACTCGATGTACCTGAGAAGGCGGCAGTATGGGTAGCGGATGAACCCGTTCCTCGCCTGCGTGTCAAGGCAGCCTCCATGTCTATTCAGCGACTGGCGGACCGAAGCAAAGAGACGATAGATGGCATACTGGAATGGGGTAGAACCAAGGGCAGGGCCGTGCAGCTGGCCGAGGAAGACTGGACTATCGACGACATCGCAGGGCCAAACGTTACCGACAAAGAGACGGTCCTGAGTTTCGCGCGCATGGCCTCGGACGCCTACATACTAGAACCCAACACAGGACAGTGGGAGGACGTGGGTGGTGGCTTCAACTACACCGAAGACTTTGGTTGGGAGTCGGATGGTCTAAGAGGGCACATCTTCGCCGACACGGAGAATTCGACGATTGTCATAGCCCTCAAAGGCACGTCGCCGGCCATGTTCGACGGCTCCGAGACGACGACCAACGATAAGATCAACGATAACCTCTTCTTCAGCTGTTGCTGCGGTCAAGGCGGACAGTACTTGTGGCGCCAAGTCTGTGACTGCCAAACGTCGGCGTATACCTGCAATTCGACCTGCCTGGTCACTGCGCTCCGCGAGAAGAACCGCTACTACTACGCTGCGCAGAGTCTATATCACAACGTCACTGCACTGTATCCAAATTCCGAGGTTTGGATGGCCGGTCATTCACTTGGTGGTGCCGTGTCTTCGTTCCTATCTCTTACATTCGGACACCCAGCAGTCACTTTCGAGGCTGTCCCAGAGGCTATGCCAGCATCCCGCCTGGGTCTACCGGTTCCACCAGGTCACCAGATTGGTACGCTCCAGCGACGTCCTTTTACGGGTGGGTTCCACTTTGGACACACTGCAGACCCTGTGTACATGGGAACCTGCAATCAAGCTTCGAGTGTATGTACGATTGGCGGCTACGCCATGCAAAGCGTCTGTCACACTGGCCAAAAATGCGTGTACGATACTGTCAAGGACTTTGGCTGGCGTGTAGGCATCGGTACCCATAAAATCGTCGAAGTCATCCGCGATGTGATTGAAAAGTACGATGCGCCTCCAAGGTGCGAGCCTTACCTTGACTGCACTGATTGCTATACCTGGGAGTACTTTGAAAGCAACGGTACCGAGACGACAACCAGCAGCTCTAGCAAACCCACGAGCACATTTAAAACGAGCTCGTCTACCAGGACTAGAACGGAGACGTGTAAGACACCGGGCTGGTGGGGATGCCTGGATGAGTCCACGACGAGCGGTCACGGCAAGACTACAAGCACTTCGTCTTCGTCTTCATCCACATCCACCTGCAAGACCCCTGGCTGGTTCGGCTGCCTCGACGAAAGCACCACCACCACCACCACAACGACCACCACTTCAAAAACGCACACCACCTCCCCCGCTCCAGCACCCACAGCCTCAACCACCTCGTCTTCCCCAACCTCGACTTCATCATGTAGATATCCAGGCTGGTTTGGCGGCTGTCTAGACGGCGATGAACCGCCCGCTCGTACTCATCATCCTACGTCGTCCAAGCCTAGTGTCACGGCCAGCGCAACCTCGTGTACATCCGAGGGTTTCTTTGGCCTGATATGCTGGGACAAGTCGAAGAAGAAACATACAAGCACGAGCTTGACGCCGGCACCGGCAGTTACGGAGAGAATGGAGATGTAATGGCTTGTTTTGGTATCGGTTGTATTGTGAGTGAGTGAGCAAGAGAACAGGAAAATCTGGCTCAGAATGACATGATGGATAAAGCAACCTCCATCTAGTCTGGCGTTTTTTTTTTCATCACGGCGTTTATATTATATCACGGCATTTTTTGGGGTTGGCAACAACATAGGCCCCAGAGATTTTGCATTGGCGTAATTGAGCAGTTGAGGGTCATGTAGTCGGTCATTATTGTTTACTCATTGTTCGCATTGGAAATGGTAATTTCAATGCTCTTGTATTACAATGACTGGTATTTCTGCTGTATAGAGCGTGATTTTACTATTCCTACATTACAATGACTGGTATTTCTGCTGTATAGAGCGTGATTTTACCATTCCTACATTACAATTACTTGAATTTCTCATGTGTGGAGAGTGATTTTACTATCCTCATTCTACAATCACTTGTAATTTCTCCGTACAGAGAGTAATTCAAATCTTACAATACCATCGCTGGTAGTTTCTCTGTATAGAGAATAATGAAAACCTTTTTACATTACAATTACTTCAAGTTTCTCGCACGTATGTTCGCTCCACTCAAAATCTCCAGTAGTTCAAATCATGCGTGATCAAAGTTTTTGGGATTGACGTGTTTTTAGTGTTTGTGTTTGGTGGAATGCTTAAAAAACAGAAGAGAATGGCTCGGTAGGGTAGTTGAAGCGCCAGCGGATTACCAATACCATGGCTGTGGTGGGTCTGGTTTGCAGGTTGCAGAAGCTTGTACGGTTGTGGCAGGTGGGGCTGACATGATACTGTGCACTGTATGTAGCTAGTAATCTGATGTGGGCTTGTCAGATGTCTGATCAAAAGGTCCAGCTGGTCAATGCTTCGAGGTTCAGATGGGGAGAAGCGAAGACTGTACGGTAAGTCGCACGGTAAAACGTCGAGTATAGCGTCAGGGGCAATCAGAGATGGAGCGTGTTGGGGAACGGGCCGTAGTCCTGGGACGCTGTCGTTGGGACTTGGTGGAGCGCCTTGAAGCAGAGGCGCATGGAAAAAGAAAGTCAGCCATGGATAGGTATGGACCATCATCATCGATGGCAGCTTCCTGTGTGACGTGCTCTGATGTCGCCCTAGATCTTGATCTTGATCTTGATCTCGATATCGTTTGGTATTGTAGGCAAAGCAAGTTTCTGGCCATTTTCCTCGAGTAACAACGTACGATATTTGGGAAGATGTCTTGACCTAGGAAGGCGCTGCCGGCCGTATCCGACACTGCTGGGCATGCATTGCGAGGCTGCGGCCGTAAACAAAACATGTGCAGGCGTGGGTAGATGGGTTAGTGTGCAGTCCAACGGCATGCACAACGCATATCGAACGATACCATCGAGATCTCAGCGGTGCTGCTTCGGTGCTGGGGGAATCCTGTCTGGTCTGGGCCGTTGAACCTGAGGTGTACACTGACTCCTGAGCGACTGCACCGAGTACCGTTAGGTACCGTGCCTACAAGACGCTATTGAAATGTTCGGCGGGACGGGTCAACGGTGAGTTTAAACGTTGCGACAGTGCAAAGGTGCACAGATAGCACACCACACCAGTATCATGGTTGTTACAGCCTCGACCTGGATGATTGCGAAATTAGCGGCGAACCACGAAGCGCATGGGAGTTTTTTTTTGCGCATGTTCGGCCCTTCAGCAAATGGATTCGGGGGGGAGGAGGGGTATATAAGTTAT